AGAGAGGAGTGAGGGAGAGAGAAAGAAAAGGAGAGAGAGTAGAAAAAAGTGAATGACAGAAAGAACGAGAAACCAAAATAGAAAGATATAGAGAAAGAAAGTGAATGAGGGAGAGGAAGAGAAAGAAGAGAGAAAAGGGGAGAGTGAGGAAGGGAATATAAAGCAGAAAAAGAGTGAAAGTCAATGAAGGAAAGAGAGGGGGAGAGACATGGAGAGTGTTGAGGGAGAGAAAGAGAAGGAGAGAGAGTAGAAGAAAGTGAATGACGGAAAGAGCAAGCAACCAAAATAGAAGGATAGAGAGAAAGAAAGTAAATGAGGGAGAGGAAGAGAAAGTAAAAGAGAGAGAGAGTGAATGAGGGGAAGGAGAGAGTGAGACAGAAAGAAAGAGAGAAGTTTAATGAGAGAGTAAATGAGAGACGGCGGAAGACAGAAAGCGCTCGCAAAAGAGAGAGAGAAAGAAAGAGACGGGGGGGGAGGGAGCAGAAGCTGAAAAACATGTTTACCAGTGGTGGGCTGGCGGGACGTCTAAGGTTTCCCCGCTGGAGGAGCTCCCGGCACGGAGGCGCTCGAGATTCCCTCACGGCTCACTGACCAGAACGTGAGCAGAGCGCGTCATCCTGAGGCACGCTGCACACATCAGCCCCCTGCTCACTGAACTACACCTTTACTGAGCGCGCCTGTCCTCTCTGCCTCCTCCTGTACAGCTGGCAGATCTTATTTACAGTGCTAGTAAAGGAATAGCCTCCATAAATGTAACCTCACTAATGAGGAGTTTACACTTAGAGGGGCCTATTAGCATCACATTTTTTACATTGTCAAAAATCCCTTTTAACATAAAGAGAAACTTAGGTTTCATAATATTCAGAATATTTCATATTCGTAGGTTTGCACTATTATTTTTCAAATCATATTCATTTTTTATTTTATTTTGATGTGAAAGGTCACACTAATAGTATAGATTGGGTGTGCTAATTTTTCCTTTTTTACAGCTACAGCAAGCATGTGTGACTAAATCATCTCTTAACACTGAATCATTATTTCATATTTTTTTTTATATATAATTTCATTTCCATTTGATGGAATCAAAAAAATTAAAACATCTTGTGTTTTTCACTCTCACCAACTAGCTTGACTTCAAGGCAGCATATTGTTGCACTTCCTGCTTTTGCTATATATATATATATATATATATATATATATATGTGTGTGTGTGTGTGTGTGTGTGTGTGTGTGTGTGTGTGTGTGTATTGCTGTTGTCAGAACAAAACCTTGTGTCTCCATTTTTGTCATTTTCAGTTTTTGCCATAATTTGAAAATGCCTGTTGGCCTTTACATTATGTGTAAGTTTCGTGATAAATGGACCAAAAGAAATGACCCAAAATGACTTGGGGGAAAAAAACTCTGGTTCCACTGACTTACATTAAAAATAAAGTATGATTTTTTTCTTCTGCTGTGAAGTCCTCATTCTAGAGACATGAAGTTTTGCTCTGACAGCAGCGATATGTAGCTATGACATTAGCTAAAACAGCTGGTGAACTTTCTGCTTCATGTGTGAACCAGATAACCAAAAATCTTGCATGAGCAAATGAAAACCAGCAGCCTATTCTAACAGTGTGACCGCTGACACATACAATAATTAAATACCATTTACAAATAAACACTTTAAATTTTGTTGTAGTTTCTTCTTGGCTGGAGGGAGATTTTTGCTACAAAAGAACACATTTGTGAGTGCAGCATGAATAGGTCAATTAGCATCATGCAGCTAATCCCTAGTAGATTCCATTCATTCTTAGCACTGTTAGCTCTTTTGGCTGGAAGTTTGCTTGTAATGGATAAGACTATGTTGCTTTCCTCATCTGTCTCTGTATCTGCTAATCATTTTTGCACAACAGGGTTATAGCTTATTCTTCCACCTCCCACACACGGAGACCGTGCTGTTAGGACAAACCTGCATGAGATCGTTGCTCTTGACAGGATTTGATGAGAATAACAGATCAGTGGAAAACTAAGCAATGGCCCACTTTTAGGGTGGAGTTCATCTCTGCATTGATGATGATTAACCACATCCTCTTCACTCCATATGTCAGTTAGTTATTACCAGTGTTTTCATAAGGGTAGCGCTGATTAACCTGTTGTCACATGTAGTGCAGCAAATAAAGCAAAACACAGTTCTGTTCAAAGTCTTTGGGTAGACAAGAAAATGGTCTAAAAGGGTTTGTCTTGGCAGTAAGTGTGTTTTTAACTGTGAAAACACTGTACAGCATTAGATGAACACTGATTTGGTTCCTGACTTCTTGCTGTTCTTGCATGGATTTGTCAAATTTCATCAGCAGCAGACTAGATATAATTTAATGAAGGTTTGATTAGACAAACCAATTGGATGGTAACTCTAAATAATATATATTCTTGACAAGATCTTTGGAAACAGTTAAGCTAATGCACTTACATAAAAGCAACATGTTGCTTATTTGTTTATTTGTATGTCTGCTGTTGTTAGGGTTTGTTTTCTTACTAAATAAATGCTTACGCAACTTATGTTTCATTTATCTAACTGAGATACAGACCTAGAAACAGTAGCTGGGAAAATTTTTGACTCAGCTAAGAAGTTTGAATTGGGTGAACTCTGATATCCTCAAGTTGAGTCAACTCAAGAAGCCATGTAATCAGTTACTGTAATATTTAAAGTTAAGCTGACTCATTCTTACAGTGCAGTAGTTGCTATTAATGAATTAATTACTGATCATTCATTAAGCCTGAGCAAATGGACTAAAAAGAGAAAAACAGCAAGTTAATTGGTTCCAAATCTCAGTGATATCCACTGTTTTTTCTTCCAAATATGTGGATTGTAATCCAGAAAAATCAAGTAAACATCTTTCAGCCTCATTACTCAAGGTCTCATATTCAGCACCTAAGTGACTTTTGGCTTAGACCAATCAAAAGGCAATCTAACCTGACTCAGTGCCTCATATACTAAGCTGCGGTCTCGTACACTCACACAAATACATGCACACACACACACACTCGGAGAGCTGTGCAGGAGAAATGGAGACGCCCTCATAGTTAGTCAGGGTCACGGCACCAAAAAAAACTTACGAAAGTCTCAGCTATTTCTGCACTGCCGCACTGATCAATGGTGTGGTAAGAGTGCAGAGCTTCAGGGCTGATTTGAAAACCAGACCTTAAAATGAGCGTTTCGTGTGGTGTGGCATTACAGACAGACTGAGAGAATGAATTAGAGTGCATTATGTCATTGACTGGCTGCCTTGTTACCCTTTCGCTTTACGAAGCAGTAGCGTCTATTTCTTAAAATAACCCAGGAAAAAAAACGAACCAGGGAGTTTAAAATAACCGAAGTGGGTTTAAGAGCAATGTTAAAAATTATTTCAAATTAGGATGACAACATAGAGAAATGTTGTGAGTAATAAAGAAGGGATGATGCAATCAGGGATCTGTCCTCATATGCAGCAGTGTGTGGAGCGGCCTGGAAATGAGCTCAGGTGGTTAAGCAGTAGGAGTGGAGAGTTATGCAGTGAATTACATTTACATTCAGTTTATAAAATATGGCAGAAAAGTGAAGCATCACTTTTCTTTCCACCAAAGCATAATATTAACTTTTCGTCAAACTTAGATCACAATGAAATGGATTCTCTTCCACTTACAAACACAAATGTGGTGTGGATTAAAAGTTATATTTGGACAAAAGTGCACTTCTGACAGATTTTCTCCTCTCATTTCAGTGAGTAAATAAATATATAATGTTGAATTACAGCTTGCTTTTGTTATTGCTGGCGATAACTGTGACTTCAAAGTGATACAGACATAAGAAGATTGTTATATTGATTATGCACTGCAAAAATAGCATCTTGTCAAATGAATTTATCTTGATTCTAGTCGATATATCTAATATTCCTTATTTGGAGATGGTTGTGCACTTATTTTAAGATTATTTAACTTATTTCTAGTTTTTAACTGTTTTAAGTCATTTTATTAACTATAGTGGGAGATCATTTTGCTGGTTTTAAGCACATTTCTTAAAACAAGCAACACTGTCTGCCAATATAGTGAGATAATTTTACCTAATAAAATTACTTAAAACAAGTAAAAAAAATGTTTGAAAATAAGTTAATCTTAAAATAAGCTTACAACGATCTTAACAGGAGAAATATCGGATAAATCGACTAGATTTAAGAAAATTTTACTTGACAAGATACTATTGTTTGCAGTGTGGGCTCTACTTTCGAGCACAGTTTAGTTGTATAAAGCCTAAATATAGCCTGTGTGTAAATCACATGCAATGTCTGCAGTGACCTAATACTTTAAAATTCCTGACCTGCACCATTTGTTGCCATTAAAGACATGAGTTGGCTAATTTAAATGCTGTGGGCACGTGTGAACACAGAACAACTCACACATGTATGAGAAGATGATCCATGTTTTTCTCTATAAAGCTAAGGTGCTGATACCCTGCCGACAGTTGAATAGGGACTATGAGAATTGGTGGCTACAGAGACGGCCATAACAACCAGTACTGAATCTGCGTTACTGTTGTTTAAAGAACTGGAAATAATAGCTAAATTTACTAATGTCTTAGAAATATTTATTATATAATGTAAATAAAAAAAGGTGAAATTAACTTAATTTCACATTTTAGTGACTGTGGTGAACTGATGCTTCTGCCATTGTAGAACAATTTGCTACTACAGCAAGAAGAAAAACAGCAGAACATTTTTTCTAGGCTGCTGTAACCATCATCGTTGTTTAATATTCTTGTTATTAATGTTTCATTCTAGCCCAACCCCTTTTACAAATGCACCGCCAACACCATGGACACCATCACTACAATACCTAATATATACCTGCCACAGCCACACGGACCAGCACTGTGATTTTGTGGCTTATTTTTGACTCCGATTATGAAAATACAGCCTTTGTGTGGACTTAATTTGTGACTTCATCAGTTTATGAGATAAACGTTCATGTTGCATGTGTGTGTTTTTCAGATGGCCACCATGTTTGGGAAACAGAAGCCAAAATCGACAAGGACTCTCTCAAGCCTGTGAGTACATTTAGATTAATAATGTAAAAGTGGTGTTATTGCAGGACTTGTGCATCTAAACGTATCTGCAGACTTTGTATAATCATCCCGCCTCTTTAGAAGCTCGCAGTTTGATGCTGTTATATGATATTTAGGGAGTTTAACTTTATTAGTTTTTAAAGTCTTTTAACTCTGATATCTGTCTTGTCTGGGTTTTTTGATGATGCAAGCTTTAGTCAAACACTCTTGTCACTTCTCAAATACCCTCCTTCTCTCTCTCCCTCCCTTTCTCACTCTCTCTCTTTCTCTCTCTCTCTCTCTCTGTGTCTCTGATGTAACTTTTGCTCACTCATTACTGTAAGTGAAAAAGACTGCTGATTAGCTTGTGCAATACTAAGTGATCTTTTCACCAATTCGCACTAGTCTCTAGTCTCACCTGAGACACAAATTAATGCTGATTGTATCCCGTTTTCCATTAGATAACACAAACAGACACACACATGTACACACAAACATTTTGTCATCATCCTCATTTACTAAAGCACAGAGCTGGTTCTCATTTACAGAGACACACATACTGTGACAGCATGCAGCGTCCTCATCCTCATTTACCACCATCCAAAATAACAAGACCACTGTACATTTATTTAATTTCTAGTCAAAACGGCCACTAAGTAGAAGGAATTTATTTTACAGCATCAGAAAAAAAAACAGAATAAGTTTAACAGAAAAGTCGCGAAAACTGCATATAATATAAAATATTTTTTTTCAGTATTTAGTTTGTCCACTAGCTTCCATTGTTTTTAGGAGAATCGCTTACAATTTTTCAAATAAATCTGCAGGAATATGTTTCCACACCTTACAAAGTCGGTAGCATTTTCTGCTTCTCGCAGTCCACGTAATTCATTCTTCTGCACTGCAATTTTCATTTATCAAAGTACAAGCAATGTAGATGTTCCCCTCAAAGGTACAACAGTGGTTTTAAGGTCCAACTGTGTACCTTAAATAAGTTCTTCCCAGGTGAAAAGTGCATATTTGTACGTTTTCATAACCAAATGTTCTAAAACGTAACATTAAAATAAAAAGCCTGGAGACGAGACGGGGTGTGTAAAGGCAGTACTGCTTAAAAATATATAATTTCCATAGTTTATGGTACAATTTTGCTCCCTAACTGAAGGTACTGAAGACGGGTACCACCCCAGTGACAGTTAATGCCTTTTTCTGTTTGATTTGCAAATGTTCTTCTTTTTTTGTCTATTTCCTTTTCTCAGTAAGAGCTTCTTGACAGCTACACATCCTTTCAGACCCATAGCGCTGAGTTGTCTTCTCACAGTGGAAGGATGGACAGAAACACCTGTGGATGTTTTCAGATCTGAAGCAGCTTGATTTTCTCCTCTCTCTCAAAGATGAAAGCTTTAAGTGCTGTTTATCTGATGGGGACAGTCTTGGTGGTCTTGCACGGTTGTTAGGAGTCACATTTTCTCTGTAACTTTTATTCTTTTTTTTTCACTTTTTTCCTTTAACTCTCTTGTTGCTTATGAAAGTTGATTATTTTATATCTAATATCAGAAATATCTCCTGACAAATGAAAAAGTTGTACTTAATGGCCATTTTGACTTAAAATTAAATAAACAAAGGATGGTTTGTACTTAACATTTAGAACCATGTTTTATTCCTCACCTATAGCTCTTATCACGCACACACACACACACACACAGACAAACAAACACACACATTCCCCTCATCCACTTGCATTGCTGGGTCCACAGCTCTTCATCTGAAGCATCGCTCGTGCTTGCTCACATGCCAAGAGCAGATTATACACGCAGCTCTCACCTGCTGCGTTTTCATGAGGGAAATAACGAGAAAATAAACCACTCCCCAGCTCTGTCACACGTTCACTCAGAAGAGAAGAGAGCAGCAAGCTCCGATCGGCTTTTTATTGCCTTTGCATAAGGCTTTATATTTATTGTTTGGCCCTTGTGTTCCAAAAAGCTGTTTTTGTTTTGGTTTAATTGAAACAAACCCCTCTGTATTCAGCAGCGTGAGGACGGGTCTCTTTCTGCCTGCGCTCAATGTGGGATCAGTTTAGCAGTAGAAAGACGTCTATGTTTGTTTTTGTGCACTTTCAGGTCCAGTCAACCTACAGGACCAACAAAATACTTAGATGTACTTAGATATCTATAATACATATGGGTCATATTATTACGTAAAGTTATTATTACATATAAATACTTAAATATTGTCGCTGTTGGATCAAAACCGTGTATCTTCAAATTAAAAGTAACTTCACAGGTAAAGCACAATACACTGTTACCAGCAACTGGTATTTTCAAATGATGAAAAAATTGGCAAAAGTGATGATACAAAGTTTTGTTTGGGTAGCGATGATGTATATAATATACATGGAACTTGTACATAAAGGTACTCAGATATATAATACATATGATATTTACATGCGTATACACACACACACACACACACACACGCATACATACACACACACAGGCAGCTGTTACTTTGTTCTTAAGGGGTCCTGTTTAAACTCAGACACAGACGCAACTTGTTTATTAGTTCTTGTCATTGTTGTTTTTTGTGTGTGTGGTTTTGCTTTTCTCATTACAGTGATGAGACCCATTGCGTCAGCTCAGCTAAACATGACCCTTCCCCTTCCACTAATTGGCCTTTAGGGCAAGCTGGTGTTAGGACTAGACCCACACTGGAAAATGACAGTGGGTTTGTGTTGGGGGGGTGTAAGGTTAACGACTAATAGACCAGTGTACCTATTTAGAGCACACAAACACGACAGTCCCTCATTCCATCTCCCCTGATGCCATGTGAGGGCACAAACACACACACACACACACACACATGCACACACACCCAAGTGTAAGTAGCCAGACGAGTGGGGCGGGGCTTCTGGCCATGACCTACAGACAGGCCCACTGTTTAAACGACTGCAAAGTCAGCAGGAAGAGTTTCCTCTGTAATTTCAGTCCCCTCCATCCTCCTATCATGAGCCAGACACTCACTGACATCGGCACTGCGCCCCCATACCCCCGCCAGCCCGGTCAGGAAAGGAGGTGAAGGAGTCATCTCACCCCAGGACCTGCTCTGGGGGCTACTACAGTCAAATTTGTCCAAACACATTGTAGCCTTTCTCAACTACCCTATAGCTCTTACTGTAGTATTTCACCCTCTCTTTCTCTTTTCACCTCTCTCTTTCTCACACTCTCCTCAGCCCACCCAGGCACTGATAAGGGACCCCATAGCAAGGCAAACATTGTACTGAAGCAAAAGTAGTGTACATAAATGTGCATATATTTGCTCTAAATACTGAACAGTATGAATATGTGTATGCCAGTGATGTGCAACATGTGGCCCAAATAGAAGACATTTGATTTGGCCTGTCCCATCAAGAAAACAAACATATATATATATATATGCATATGTATATATATCTATATCTATCTATCTATCTATATATATATATATATATATATATATATATATATATATATATATATATGGGTGTGTGTATGTGTGGGTGTGTGTGTGAAATGACATATTTTGTTTTCTTAAAAAAATAATTAGCACATGCTCTACAGAGAACACACCTACATATTTTAATGCAAGTTATGTGCAGAATGTATGTATGTGTGCATATATATATATATATATATATATATATATATATGTAGACAGATACATAGATATAGATCATTTTCATTAAAGTTGAATGGGATGAGATGGATCACAGTCTTTAGGATTAATTTCCCATGTTTCTTGAGAAAACTCTAAGAATTGGCAGTATTTCACCCACAGGCTTTGTGAGGTCATTGATCGGATCATTAATGTTTGGACATGGACAGGACGGCACACGTTCCTCTATTATTCAGTCTGTGTCTCAGTGCTACACTAATGCTGTGTTCTCTTGTGTATGACAGACTTCCCTGGTGGTGGAGATCCCACCGTATCGCAATCAGCGAATAGCCAGCGCTGTACCTGTCAGCTTCTATGTGTGCAACGGCAAAAGGAAGAGGAGCCACTACCAGCGCTTTACTTACCTGCCTCCAAACGGTAATCCCTCGTTCCTTCTCTCCAACTCTCACTTTCTCTCTGCGTAATAGGCTCTAGGCTCTCTAGAACTCTCTTCTGCCCTCTTGCTTTCTGCTTGCTAACCTGTTACATTTATCAGAGGTTACTAAGGGTTGTTAACAAAACATACTTGAAGATATTGTATGACAAATATATAAAATGTATGACGATATTTAGTTCTTTTATGGTTTGTGCAGGGGTAGAAATTACTATACACTGGTTGTTGTTGTATGCAGGCTCTATGTAATTGATTTTGAAGTATTTTATTTTAATTCATGCAGTTGTTCAGTGCTGTAGAAGTACTGACAATGCCTATATGGTCATAAAAGTCTATTTATCATGACAACATATCATATTGACCACCCATGGATGTTACGATCAGTGGCAAGTGTGAGCCTCTGACATGTCTGGTTTACCTCTCTCCACGCTGAAAGCCCAGGAGCCAGCGCAGGGCACACACAGCTTAGCGCAACTCGGCCGTAACCTGGAGAGAAGGTGCAATGTGAGCATTGTTTATTTTGTTGCGGTGTTGCATTTTCCTGCAATGAGGTGTAGCAGCTGACTGCCGGAGCCTGCAGGCAGTGTTTTTGTAGGGGAGTCTTTCACACACACACACACACATACACCTCCCACAGGTCCAACCCTGCTTACGCCTTCTGACAAGCCACAACCTGAAGAAGCGTGACTCTTCGCTCACCGGGCCCACACACTAGACAGACGTTAAAGAAATGCTTCAACCAAAAGTCTAATAATTGCTAATAATGACTGAGATAAATACCCACTAGCTGTCAGTCACTGTTGGCCACATAGCATTTTGACCTCTGACTTAAGTAAAATGCCATTGAACCGTTACTCCTTTGGAACAGTGTTTATACAAGAGAACTCATGTAGGCTATAGCTATGCACCATATGAGCTTCTTTCTTCATGGTAGTGGGTGAAGCCGAAAGATCAGAGTAAACGTTCTGTTGAAGCAGCCGGCTGCAGAGCTCACATTTTGCTCCTGTGCAGGAGTTGGCCCAGTGCAAAGTCAAAGTTCTGTCAGTCCTGAGTTTGTAGGTTTTTCTCAGGTTTTCCAGGACATTTTGTCCTGAAAATGTATGAAAACAAGCACACGCATATGCACACACTGCAGAACAACCACAGATAAGTTGTTTACCACAATATAACAGAACAGTAATAACTGGATATCACGATGACAATATAAGAGCGATAACTTACTGTTAAAATAATGTTTCTCTGGCTGGATGTAATGTAAGTGTAGGTATTAATTTAAGGGATGTGCAAACAGAAATCTAACATACTCTCTTTAAATCCCTCTTTAAAGAAATGGAAAAATAGAAAATTATAAAAAGCACCGTTCACTATTCTGCAAAATAAAAAGAAATAAAATACTAATAAATACTTACACCAGCAATGCAGGCCCATTTTTTGTGCACCTTTTCCTGTAAAGGCTACAAAACCAAAAGAGAACAAAAAGCAAGAACAAATACATATTTTTGTTTCATTTTATTTTTTTATTTAGTTATTAAATATTATGGCATCAGATACGCCGGGTTGTATTTAAATTTTCGTTATTATTTAAAAATAAAGTTTTTCTTGCTTTTGGTTGAGTGTAGTTAGGCACCGTGTTCTTAGTTGCTCCAGGACTCTTATTTTGACAGACTGTGAGGAGAGTAGCTGGCTAACAGAAAACAGTAGAGCCTGAGCAGCCTGTGTGCTGCATGTTTTCCCCTTTGCTGCAGCTGTTTTGAGTTGAGTTTTCATTAAAGCTGAGTTAAGGGCCGATATTGTAAGGTGTCCGAGTGTGTTTTATAGTTGCCGTTTAGCTGAATGGTTACTCATCTCCCCTGTGGGAGAGCAGGTTCAGTCCCAGCACAGAGAAGCAGGCTTGTAACATTTTGTGTCTGTAATGTGATTATGTCTCTCTATTGCTGTGTGTATGGGTTAATTAGTCCTGTTCTGTCATCACCGCTCTAACGATGTGTCTATTGTGGAAACTCATATCACGATAATGATAAAAATATGATTTATCAATCCTATATATTTTATCAATCCTAATGTCGATTATTGGCCCAGGGCTATTGGGTATATAATTATATCCTGGTTTAAAACTGCTGCGTCTGTTTGTCCAGCCTCTACACTGTTAGGTAGTACGAGGTTGCGGCGTGTGGGTTTACTGGGTTTACATGGTTGAAGTATTTGATGAGTACAATGAAATGCTTTTTTGACAAACTCACTCACTCACAGTGCAAACAATAACAATGTGAGGACTAACAGTGACAAGCAGCCTGCTGGAAAAAGAGAACTGCTCACTTGTTGTTGTGTATGTTTAGAGACAGAGAGAGAGGGGCATGGTAATGTTGCTGTCATCACTTCCTGTCTCACTCGTGTGAATCTGTCCTGCCTGCTTTTTGCGGACCACTTCAAGCACAATTGTGGTCGTTGACGTTTCTCATAAAGAACATCTCACACACTCCAGTGTCTGACTGAAAAACACACACACACAAAAGCCACCGGCTGTGAAAACCGCCTCTAAATTTAGCTCCACTTTCTTTAAAAAGCGGAAGGACGACACAAACACGTTGCGGTCTGTGGGAGGTTTTGAAAATAACCCTCACTTTCCATTCATCTGACGTGCGATGATGCCCTGTAATCAAATGGCAACTTGCAAACAGACTGAATTCTGACATTTCATTTGTACCTACGGAGCAATTAAGGCCATGTATTCCTGCTTGCATATTCACACAGGCCTCAGATTTCCTTTCCATTCTGTAATTATTCATAAGCTTGTTTTTATCAGAACATATTCATCTCCAGAGAGACGTATTGTTTGTGTCGTGCAAACATAATTTGTTTCTTATCTGTGTGTAGCGGCGTGTAGGATATGCATTATTGCTGATTTTATCTAAAGCAGTTTCTGGTTGTGAGTCAGACACACACACACATAAACGCAATGGCATTCTCCACTACGCTAGACTGAGATAAGCCTGATCGATGCTGAAATAGAGCTATATTTTTCCAAGTCGTTTTTAGTCACATATGATAGTTATTTTATTTGGCGGCACAACAGTGCTGTTTCTTTAGCAGTTGGCAGTTGAATTGAAATTAGTGATCATTTTACCCATTTTATGAGCTACGATGTTTTAAAGAGGGAGAGTTTTGTAAATAATTGATTCAAGATGTATAGCATTTATAGAGAATATCAAAATGAAATCACTAAATCTTTTGCTTTTGTGTGAGAACAGTACTTGGAAAGTGGGTGTGTGTTAGAGATGGCACAGTACCACTTTTCCTTTTCTGATACTGAAACGGTTTTCAAACTAGGAATGTACCAATGTGGGAGTTGTGGAGTCAATACCAATATGCAATATTTTTGATGTACATATTTGCCAATGGCAGTACCGATGCTAATTCATGCACAATTATCTAAAAAATTTACAAATTTGGACTAGATCTGCCTAGATTAGCATTACAAACAAATTTAACATGTATTTGTTTACAAATAAAGGAAAATGAGTAATATATAGACATTGTGGCACAGTAGTGGAATGCAATAAATACATCATCAAATATGGGTTTGAAGTGTCTGTCATGTCTAAGCATCTGTCATATGTCGGTTTTTTTAAACAAATATCTGCCAATACTGATATATGATAACATTGTGCATCCCTAATTAAAACCTTGAGCATTAAGAAATACCGATATTGCTTAGCTTTAAAACGACTACGCTTTAAAACAGGGGTCAACTCACAATAAACGGGCCATATTAAAAAATCTCAGCAAATTTATGGGCCAGCTGTGTTTTTATTGCACTTTTGCTTAAAAATTTGCCATGATCTGAACAGACCACTGTTTATTCAAAATTTAAACTAGATTCCAGGCATCTTTTCTTTTTGTGTAACCGCTGACCCACAGATTGTTGGTGGGGATCAGAACACACACTATGTTTCAGAGCATGATGGGGACTGTAGTGCGTCTCAGGGTGAAACAGGCTAATAATGGAGAACTAAAATAATTTCGTGGGCTGAATAAGACAGGCCTGACTTGGCCCTCGGGCCTTCTGTTTAACACATGGGCACTACTTTTAAATGAAGCAGATGACTTAAGATGATCATCTCCAAGTAGGCTGTCATGCTTAAACTACTCAGACACTGCCTGATACTGATACCTGCTATCAGATCAGTGCCATCTCTGGTTTGCATATGTCTGTGTGTGAAGTGTCTGAATCAGTAGACACTGAGATGAGAGTAAAGCAAGTCACGCTCCTTTTCTCCATCCTGATGTGAGTGTTGCTTTTCCAATCACGCTCCCAATAACTCTTGCGTGTGTGAAGTCATGACACGGCGTCTTTTTCGTTTCTTTCAAATGAGAAACATTCTTTCAAACCACATAAAACAACACAGGCTAAAATTGCTGGCACTGGGGAAAGCCCACTTGAAGTCAGTTCTCGGAATCCCTTTATTTTTACAAGCACTTCGAAGATTCCTCCACAAGATCGAGTTCTATTAATAACACAAATGGCAGCACCTCTTTGGCTGAGAGCTGTGGCTGTTTTGGAGGAGAGGGCACGTTAAAAAGAAGCAACATGGAGCACGTAAACGGAGGCTGGATGACCACTCACTGTGTAATGTTCCAACCAGTCGAGACTACGAGCAAAAACCGAAACCTGACTAAGCATCATAAAACTGTCCACGTGCCTCTCTGCGTGTGGTGTTACGCCCACACCGCAGAGCGTGTCAGTTTTCCAGTGACGGCAATGTGTCCCATACAGGACGCGGAGAGTTGCGGTCCAGCTTTAGAAACCGACTGTTTGCCAGTTTTGAGGGAACGTGCTGCTTCTTGGCACCATAGTTTGTGGTTGTGTAGAACTGGACTATCTTTCGCAGGGCAGGAGTTGGCATAGGTTTGGGCCAGTGACAGACAGAACCAACTGGACCATACTGGCCACCAGCTGCCTGCCAGATTGTTTCTGCCCAGGGGCTTGTAATTATGGCTAGGCCCTTGTGACGTAATTAAGAGTCACCTGTGTCACATGGAGACTCCTTCATCCTTTCCTTCTGTCTCAAATATCAAAGCAGTAAGACTGCATAAGTATTTTGCTTAAAATACTGTACATAGATATATTGATGTGTAGACAATTAATGGGTACTGATATATTGATTTCTTTTTACCCAGCAAAGATAAACATTTATACACCCATGTGTCCACATAGCACATATTTATTAGAGATAGCACCAATTTAATACCAGCAGAAAATGGTATTAGAAAAAAGAGCAAGTCTAGCTTGAAATATTGCATATTTGCTCGTAGCATGATATAATGTAAAGCAAAGCAAAGCAGGTCATGTGATGACAATAGTAGCCATCTGTAATCTAACACTGGCATAAGACCAATGCATATCTAGCCAACTGCTTTATTTTAAATGGGTAAATCCGCTGATGCTTATGGCTTCAGTATCGAAATCAGTGTCATAAAAGAAAAAGTACTTTTGTGCCATCTCTGATATCTATAAAATTGATCTGATGATCAAAGATCTGCCTTTGTGAGAACCTCATACTTAATATATTTAATATACACCGCAGGGCTGATGAGTGGGTGGGAGAGACGGAGAAAGATAGAGAAAAAAAACATGGGCAAAAAGAGAAAGTCAGAGAAAAGAGTGAAAAAACAGTGCAGTGTAAAGTATCTGCAGGCCATAACCGGCTGGGAGTTGGGAGGAAATCAGAGGCAGCTGGGGATGAGGCTAACAGGGTGAATCTTCACGCCACGCTGCAGACTCCCAGTGCTCAGAGCAGGCTGGAAGGCTTCGTCAAGCCTGGCCCAGGGCCCTCAGCCTGGAGGCTGAAGGAGAAATACGAGAAGGTGTCGGTATAACGAGACAAAAACAGAGCCACAACTCTACGGAGTTTTCTGTTGATGTGTAAATTTAAAGATTAAGCATGTAACCAAAGTGATCTTGCTACTGGGATGGAGGGATTAATACTGAATTGACAAAGGTAGACCGTACATCAGGGCTGGTCTTCGTGGTGCAGATTAAGCCTAGTATTGGACTAGTTTCTTAAGGTCGTTGGCCAAAGTTTTGTCTAGGAAAACAGGTATTTTTACACAGCATTATGTGGACTGAAAACTTTCAAAAGCATAATCCCTTTGCTTTTGTTTGTTTTCCAACACCGTGTGCATAAAGTCAGCTCCACTCGCTGTTGCAAATTGAGCAAAGCGTATTGCATGGTGTTGAGTCGTCCAGTTCTTCTTAACCAGGACACATCATTTTCAAGGTGATTTAGGCAAAGAGCATCATTCCAGACACACAAAACAACATCCAGGCCAAGGCTGGTAGGTGTAGTCTCCTGACGCCAGCATTGAGCTCCAGAGGAAGGGCTTTGGGACAGCCATGGGTCCAGGGAGCCGCTCACTAGCACCATGCAGGTCGCAGGGGGACGCCCTGAGCACTCCCACGCCACTTAGAGCAGACAGCAATGACGTAAATCTGCGGCGCGCTGGGGACACGGAGAAGGCACATGCGGGCCGAGGGTGTGAAAGATCGGTTTCGTTAAAGAACTAATGACATACGGCGATGGAACAATATAAATTGTTATAGTTATCAGGATTCAGAAAAAACCTGCTTCAGTTGGTGAAGTATTTCACGCCGAGGCTGAATCCTAAACTTATTTTCTATCATTCAGTTGTAAACGACATTCAAAATATCTTTATAAATCAATTTTGATCAATTAACAGAAATAATCGTCTATATTCAATTAAATCAGTGTACTTTCCAAACAAATGTGGAGTTATCTGAACTGCACCGGGTGGTCAGTGGACCTCCCTCTGGTGTCTTTCTCCAAGGTTTCTTCCATCACAGGCTGGGTGGACTCACTCACCCAGCTCTAAGTACCTAATCAAAATCAAATCATTTTCTCTCCCTCTTTTTTTTGTCCGTTAGAGCAACAATTGCTTCTCCAGTGTGGAGCCCCTGGGGTCTAAGGCTCCTGCAGCAGCTCTCTCCTTCAAAATGCTCTTTTATAGCATATTAGAGCTGGAGCCCAGTCCAAAGAAAATAGGCCTTTTCATTATTAGAGCCAGCTGTGGAGCTCTCCTCTGATTACTCATCCTTTTTTCTTTCCCTTTTTTGTCATTTTCTTCTCTGTTTTCTTTTTGCTTTTTTTCCCTTTTTTTCCCCTTTTGCTGGGGTAGCTGATGACACACACACACTGGTTCATGAGAGCTGATTGGATTGAGTCAGTTTAGGAGGGTATCCCGGCTACAGTGTCTCACTTGTATTCCTGTAAGCCTCTCACACTTGCCAGCTTCCATTCCTTTTTCACACATAAAAAAACTTTAGCAGTAAGAAATTGTAAGATTTCTATTGTGCTGTTATGGTATTAACTTAATAATCTGTAATACTTTCAGCTCCATGTAATATTCTTGTAATGCAGTCTTATAGTAATCTGTAACAGTCATATAGTACCCTATAGAAAACTAAAGCGTTTGTCTGAATTTACAGTAAGATACCAGTAATAATCCTCTATACATTTCTACAGAAAGTCTTACTTTAGTTCTGAAATCCTATACAAAGTATTACGATAGTTCAGTTCTCAAACTAGGGGTTAGAGAGGGACGATAAGAGGGCCACGGAAAAATGTTAGAAGTTATATCTCCACTTTGCGATTTTTCATTTTGCATGTTTACTAAATCTGCTAAAAAGTACTTGATTAAAAATCATAGTTTTTAATAAACATTATTAAAACAATAGCAGCAACAGTGCCAGGCCAGTTGCAGAGAAAGCTAAAGTAAGACATGGTCCTCATTTGTTAAGTGAAATTAATGACAACAGGGTGAGGAAGGAAGCAAACAGGGGTGAGGGTTGTGCAGTGGCATCTACTAACTACAAAGAGGCCTTTATAAAAAGCCTTTAAAGCCTTATGCCTTTAGTTACTCCATTACTTACCCGTCCTCTGATTCTCTCTTGCGCTCGTCTTCTTTTGCAGTTCCTATGATAAAGACAGAGCCGACCGATGACTATGAGACGCAGGGTGCTCCAAGGATGCCCATGCACTCAAAACCCTACTACAGTCAACAGAGATTGCCTCCCATGATGCCTTTGGGTGACACTGACCCCTGCATGGTGGGTGGCTACTCTCCCTGCCCTCCCCGCCCCACTGCCATGCCTTGTTCCTCCCCCGGCTCCAGCCCTAAGCTCCATGACCTATCACCTGTCCCCTTCCCTAAGTGCCTAAGCAGTAGCCCCACTCACTCCACCATGCCTGGTAATGTGGCCTCTCTACAAGACACACCCACACATCCTAGCCTGGCCCTGCCCAGCTCCCCTGACCACACCTCCCTCACCATGCCCCACCCCCAGGGCAGTCCACACCTCAGCAGCCCCTCTTATCATCCTCTCTACCCCAGCAGTAGCCCCTCCTCCTCTCCCACCTCCCACCCCTCTACGCCTGGTGCTGCAGCAGAAAGCCCCTACCTGCCACCCTTTGGGTCTGCCCAGCCAAGAGGAAGCCCGTCCAGCCTGTTGGCGGAGGACAGTAGCTCCCCTGCACTGTCTGTCACCATCAAACAGGAACCGCAGGAGCTTGACCAGATGTACCTGGATGATGGTAGGTTACTGCAATAGTACTGGCTTAATGCCATGGCACACTGACCCAACATTCTGCGACAAACACCAACGTTCAAATCTTGAATGACAAGCCTAAAGAACCAGTGTGAATGGTTGGAGAATATTCTAAAGCAGAAGTCACCAACCACCCTCCTGGAGATCTCCCTTCCTGCAGGTTTCTTCAAACCGAATGTAACAGAAGGACTTCTGAAAGCAATAATAAAATGGATTAGGTTGGGGGTTTGGCACAAAAGTCAGCCGGGAAGGTAGACTCTCTAAGAGCAAGGTTGGCGACCACTGTTCAAGAGGATCCCAGTTGGTACAATATAGTGTGAGAGTATGTATGTAAACCCAACATTCGGATTTGCTTTGGTCTTTGTGCTTTAATGTAATTTGCACCAAAAGCATTAGTCTGATGAATAGATACGCCTCCATTTCTTTCAGTGTTTCAGTGGATTGTTTAGAGGTACTACACATTAGACGAGTGACTCATGTCTGTCATGGACATGCAGGTTTGTGGTCATATTTAAACATGCTAGAAAATGTTTAACTGGAAAAAATCAGAAGAAAAAAAAAGTGCTGATATTCATGGTGGAACCAAGTAGGAGGATTTGCTCTTCACTTACACCACTTACAGGTATCTGATGTGTCATGTCTGGTGTGAATTTGGGGTAACAGTCATAGATAAACAGTGTTAGAGTCAGTGTTCTAATGTCATCCAACATTAATAACACTGTGTGCTTTAAGGTTACATACTGTTAATCTCAGAGCAGACCCACTCAGCAAAGCCCAAAATAACCAAAGGTTATGTCGGTGTGCCAAACCTGTTTGTGATTTTTGGAAGGTCTTGGATGTTCTTCATCCTTCACACTGGCTTATTGTCTTGTCGGTTTGTACGCATGCTAATCCCAACTGTCAGAATGTTCCCATTCGTTATGACTTCTTCACATTACACGATTCGCCCCAAAAACCCACAATATCTTTCACACAACAAGCCAAGATATTCCAGAATGGCATTCATTCGTTGTGGTTCTTTCAAACAAGGCTTCCCATCTGCATTCTGCTGTAATCCCTGAATATCCTTCTAACATGGTGAGCTTGTACCAATGATGAAACTGTGGTGAAACAGTCATTAGAGGCTGCTGGGTCAATGTGCGCTGGGCTTTACAACAAGTAACCATGGCACTTTATATTAGGCATTTGTTGTTTACTATGATATTACCAATTGTCATAGTGGGTCGTATTAAAAAAAAAACTGTTGCACACTGTTTGAGCCCCACCAGTTGCAGGTGCACAGATGTGCGTGTGGGTGTGCGTACATGCCGGAAGTATGAATCCACTTGTTATGCGGCGGCGGTAAATTAGCACAGTGGGATTTTAAACAATCTGTCTAAACACAGCGGGCGCGCAGGAGGTCAGAGGTCAGGCTGGGAGCGGTCCGGCGAAAACAGTGGCACACGCACGGCAGTCTAGCCTGTTGACTCGAGCCCTAATGAAGGAAGCAAAACAATAGGTAGGGGTTTCCTGAGGTGAGAGCTGCTCAGTTTTTTTTCCAGAATTCGATTTGAGGGGCACGAGGAGAGGAGAGGGGGTTGAGGCTTTTGTTTTCACTCGGCCTCCCCGTGGAGCCTCCTGCGCTGAGCTGGCGTCATCAAGGGAGCCAGGGGGGTCACCGGGGTCTCCCCTGGCTATGTGCCCAGTGACACCCGTGGGGGTGTTGAATGTTTAGCCCTGAACCCTCCCGCTGTTCCTCTAATAATTACCTGTGGTCCTTGCCCCCTGGTCACCTGTGGCTACTGGCTCTCTGTTGAATATTCTGTGTTCTGGCTAGGGAGGTGATAGTTCCACTAAATAAGGCCAGAAATAAAGTATTAAAAGGCAGGGCAGGGCAACGTACGGACAGCACCCCTTTCCCCGCAGCTCTGCTTCACGCCAGCTATAAACAGTGTTCTTTTATTGCTTACAGTTAAGGCAGGGTTAGAGGTGGCTATTGTGCTCTTGAGAGGACATTGTATGATTATGTGTGTGTGTCTGTGTGTCTGCCTGTGTGGGTGGGGGGTATTTAAGGGCTGAGCAGAAATTGAGTTAGAATGTAGCTTTCACTAAATCTGTCATCTCAATGTCCTCAGCTCATAAATAAACAACATGGAGGGATCCAAGGTCATCTATTTGTCATCAGCCCCTGTTAATAGCTTCAAACATAGTCAGAAGTGACATTTTGAAAGTCATGTCAATTCACACGTGCTCCGCTAGCGTTTATCGTCTGTCGGCTGAGGGCAGATCCAAGCAGAGAACAAAAGAAATTGAATAACCCCTCAGATATGGAGTCGAACTTCTTCAAACATAAACTACATAATGTCGAACGACATGTTTATTCTTGTGTCGTGAACTATGGCAGCATTAAGTCAATAGAGATGAAACTCTAGCCCTGTTTGATGCTGTATGAAAGCTTGTTATTGGATCGTTTTACCTGGTACCTCAGCCCAATGTGAAAGTATTCCAAATTTCCTCTGTGCTCACGTAAAAAAAAAACAAGAGTAACCTCGTTTCCGTGTTTCCCCCGTACCTCATCTCCAGTCACTTTAGCTCTCGGCCGTGCCTCCATACCTCCGCCTCGGTGGCCAAATGCATTCAGCCTGTGATTACAGTTGCATTAAGCGAGCTGCAGGAATGCGTATTGATTGGCCGGGGCCCTCCAGAGCGCGTCTCGTAAAACCTCGATCAGGCTGCCATCTCGTGCACTCTAATGCCTGAATAAGCGTCTGTGGTCGGCTGCTGGAGTCCCGGTAAGTGTGTGGTGGTAACTGCATCCTCCGAAGGCATCTGCCTGCCCCTACCCCCCAACCCCCCACCTCCACCACCTCCCAGGCTCTGCACTCTTTCAAACGAGCTGAAAAACGAAATAAACAACGTTGGTGCAGGAGGGAGTGCACAAACCCAAACTCCCTCCCAGCTCCTCCTCTCCCACCTCCATTACTTCAGTGCAAATAAATTATATCTTGGCAAATAAAAGCATTTTAAATGGAGGTAATACATCTAATATTTCTCATTATGAGATTGTTATAAGAATATTATAAGATCATTGACCTGTACATAGACATTTAACTTATTTTAAGTAGTTTTATCAAGTGAGATTATCGTACTGCACTGGCAGATAATTGACCTATCCATGCAAATGTGTTCTTCTGTAGCTACTGTTGCTACAGACTTTAGAGAGCATTGGCAAAATTGGTAAGACAACTTTACACAAGTGAAAATGTCTGAGTTTAAAAATGTCTAACTTACTTACAACCATTTCATAATGAAACATATTATGCCTACTTTAAAGATGTTTTCGCTTGCCAAGATATAGTTTATAGGCCTTCAGGGCTGCTAGCAAGAGAAACGGTCATCTCTTTTTCCTCAACTGCTGGAGGGGAGGCCTTTTGGCATTATGGCGTGGATCGGGGGCCCCCAGGCTGCTGTAGACGTCTTCTGCTGGACACTCGAGAGGCCAGCCGCACACTCGTGGGCCTCTCGCCCACCGCGGCGGAAAACCTCTCTCAGAGACAGAGCCACTCGAGAAATTATTCAACTTCTCAACGGCTGGCTGGTGCACCAGCAGGGGCTCGGAGATGACGTGTATTTGTGCATATCTGTGTGTGGGGGGGGGTTATATATGAGCCCCTGAAAGTTCCCCACCACTCAGCACAGTCTTTAGACCTCCAGCCTGTTGCTAACTACTTGAAAGGATGTGTGATAGAGTGAGAGTATATGTTATCATCACTGCTCTCCATTTTCACTAGCTGCCTCTGTAATCCACTTCTCTTACGAGTGTCGTTCTAACTGTAGTAGCTTCTTTGTTGAAAGGATCCAAGTAAACAGATCCTTATCCAGTCAAGTGCTGAAGGCTAGCAGGGCCAAAGCCAAGAATCGAAGGGTTGCTCGGAAAATTCTTTTGCTACTTTTAAATCAAAAGCATGCTTCACCGTTGAAAAAAACTTCTACCCTCCGTCATCTTTTTTTTTTTTTTTAAATGGCATTACTTCGTGTCATTGTTCCTGTGTCTAGCACTTGCGTAATGCAGCCTGCGGTCTCTAACTGGGCAGCATCCAATAACAGCCTTTGTTGGGTCATTCCCTCCTGTATTCCACAGCAATTTACAATGCATATGGCACGGAGCGAGAAAAAAATTGCATGCATATGGCATCAGGGGGAACAATAGCGAGCTGTTTGAAAACAGAAGTACGGATTTCGCGTCAGACTCGTTTTCCTCACTAATTAAGCAGTAAAAGGCCGGCTGGAAGGCCGAGATGCTGGAACGCGCGGTCACAGTTGCTGAGGAGAGACGGCTAGGGTGACATCATGCTCCCTCATGTGTGTGTATGTGTGTTAGAGTTAGCATGAGCTAAGTCACTGGCTTTGCCTTTCATTTCAGTATTGGCTTACAGTTCACTTACCATTTTAGAACTTAAATTACTAAAGCTCTGAGTGGGTGGCTTTCACCCCTGATTTTCTTTTGTTTCTTAAGTTTTTACCCGTATGTGTTTGTGACTGTGTACGCGTGGGGGTGCTGCACAGCACCTGATGTTTGTCTTCTCTCATTAGCTACCAGCATGAGGAGTGAAATCATGAAGTCTAGTTCTGAGGTCACTAATCAGAGTGGCAGATTCTCTCCAGCTGTGCTCCTGAATACACAGGGCCTCTATTCACTGGAGTCTCATAGAGGAGCCCCAGCACTGACAGGGCTCGAGGAGCCGCTGGCCCCTTAACCTGCCTAATTTTCTTTACCGTCGAGTTAGAGCTGTACACTGTAAAACCTCTGACTCTAATGGGACAACACTTAGGCCTTTTAAAGTTTTCTGTGCCTCATCTAGCGCCTCCATTGGGTTTTCCATACTTCAGACAGCTCTCTGTTCCTCTGTACCTCTGTCTCTTTTCTAATGGAGCAAAGGTCTTAAATTTCAGAGGATCCCCCCGCACTCCTCCGTCCCCGTGACCCCCCTCCCTCTCCGCCTCTCG